CACGAAGTGCATCATGATTTCACACATACAGAGGAGCCGAGCAACAAGCTTACGTGGGAGGTGCGGCTTTCGTATCAATCGCAGATTAATTGCCTACACACGCACACGTTCGTGCGTACCAGGTGCTACACACCGAAATGCACTAAGCGTCTCTGAAATCTCAACTAACCCATCGAACCAAACGCCAAATTAAATGTCACCGGTTTTTAATAAAAAAAGGGGGGGAGGGCGGGGCAGGGCAGAAATGTGGAACCCCGAAATGCATTGTGCATTCGTGTCCATATAAAAGGGCACAGTTCGCCAGCAAGGGGGGGACGCTTCAGAGCAGCCAACGCTCTAGCCACCTGGGCTACGAGGCGCCGCTGGGGAACCGAGAACTCAACCACAGAAGAAGAAGATGCGATCACTGGAACAAGGGATTTATTTTCCTGACGTTTCGGATTCCCGAGGGAATCCGAAACGTCAGGAAAATAAATCCCTTGTTCCAGTGATCGCATCTTCTTCTTCTGAACTGCTGCCTGGAACTCGTATATTCTCCTCCATTGGCAAACTCAACCACATTTGGATCAAGGTGCCCGCGTAGTCAACTGCAACGTGTATGGAATCCACCAGTTCTGAGAGAGTAAGCCGACTGTCCAAGCAGGATTTCCTGAGCATTCAATCTAAACTCCATCAGCTGACTACCGACAGTTCGACCGTCGATTTCGACTATGTCCACCACCAGCCTCAACAGGCTGAAGCAGCGTGGTGACTGCCGCGAGATTATAGTGGACGTAGACTCGCGGAGAATCTACTGCAATCTCTCACCACTCCCACACAGGGACCCGGTGTCAAGGCAGATGTGAAGAAGACCGGGAGGTCGCAGGCGGTTTGCGCGACAGAAACTTGGTGACCTCACAGGGATTCGAATCCACGATAACAAGCGGAAGACTTCAGAACAGCCAACGGTCTAGCTAACTGGATTACTAGGCTCTATCGAGAGTTTAATATACCTGGGCCAATTTACCCGCCAAGCCTACTACAGTGTCTAGAATCCACTAATTTTTATGTAGTAAGCTGACTGCTCAAGCAGGATTTCCTAAGCTATCAACCTGGAATCCACCAGCCGAGTATCAGGTACAATTACTTAAAAGGAGAGTTTGTGCACATTTGAATAATTTATTTCACCCAGTTGTGAGGTGTTGGCCTTACCCATCTGTTCCGAACAAAGTTCCGCTATTTCTCTCAAACTGAATTCTCCCGTTATTAACCTTATCCCCTCTCTATTGGTCCGCCTCTAGGTGAGGGCGCACGCACAGACGGTTGGAGCACTGGTTGCAGAGAAGACCGAACTCCAGGCGAAGCTGGCTCACACAGAGCGGCTGGCTGAACAGCGCTTGAAGGTAATGCCTTCCTTGACCTTTCACGTGGTTCTCCTTACCACCACCACCACCACCACCACCACCACCACCACCACCACCACCACCA